CGGAAGTGCAAGACACACAACTCTGTCTCGGCCACAGAGTTGCTTACAACACGTTTTTGACGGTTTTTTTGGCTTCATAACTACTTGAGATCAACCATAAATGTGGGGAGATAGTTACAAACTGAAAATAGGCCCACTAACCTCATAAAAAGATGGTATTTAAGTAGTAGGACAGCGGTTACAAAAGGGGTTGAGCATTTTTGGGGTATTTTTGGAGCAGATTGAGCAGGGAACTTGAGCATTTTAGGGCATTCTTCTCAAGAGAGAGAGAGAGTCTTCATAAAATTTGAGTGCAAACAGCAACTGTGGGATTCCCTTAAGATCTAAGCTTTAACTTGATCTTGAGAAGAGTGTTCATCTTACATCGATAAGATATTCACTTACTGTTTTTCTTACTTCTAAACGAAGGAAGAATCCCCAAAGCCTTCACGATTCAATCAGAATCAGTGATTCGGTAGTCTACGGGCTAACGCACCCCCGGCACAGGCAAAGATCTCGCGCAAGCAGCGATCCAAACAACGATCCTGTGTTTGTTTCTAAAAAGTTATAATTTTTCTTTTGTTGTGTAAAAGAAGTCTTATAAAAAGACTATTTCTTTTTGAATTTGCTGTAATCGACCGAAGATACAATGAATTTCACAATGAAATCAACTTTTGACGAAAACACGTAGTACATAAATTTTTTTGTTGGGCGTTCAATGCAGGCATAGGATCCAGGTGAGTATTCATCACAATGAATGTTACACTGTTTAAGTACAAAGGAAAAATGAGAGTTGATTAACGGTGTAGTTGGTGAGGGGGAAACTCCAGCGACTTAATTTGGATATGTAGATATATTATAAATGTAGATGAAGAAGGGTGAGTTTGAAAACAGTGGGTGTGTGTGGATAATTAATATGGTTTTTGTTTGTGCAGTTTTCTTCGTTCGTTCTCAATATATTTGTGGTCCTGTTGATATATATAGCTATAATATTGCTACTCTCTTTTGGTTTTCTAGAAGAGTTTGGGTGTAAATAAAAAAATTTTAATTATCTAATCCGGTTAAAGTAGGATCATATAAGTTAACACATACGTAAAATTTATTTTAACCAACACCGATATATAAGCATTACAATTGGCATTGAGATGTAAGATAAGTGTTACATTCTCTTTGACTTTTATACAAACAATATCTTTTTAAATAATAATCGTATAATTAAACTTTGTGATCTAAAAAAATCAAACATACAATATAATTAACTGCTTTAAAATAGTCTAATATAATTTAATGAGAAAATTTTGATAAAAGTAATGTGAAAATTATTGTAATTTTATAATTCATAAATTTTAAACAATCTAGTCTAATCTAATAAGAAAAAAAACAAATGCACATACCTGTTGAAGGAAATGAAAGTGCTGTGAAAATTATCGTGATTTCTTGATCTAAAAAAAGATCAAATATACAATATAATTAATTACTTTAAAATAATATAATCTAATCTAATAAGAAGAAAATAGATGAAAATGCTATAAAAATGGTTGCTATTTCTTGATATAAAAAAATAAAATATATAATATAATTAATTACTTTAAAATAATCTAATATAATCTAATAAGAAGAAAATAACAAATGTACATACATGTAGAAAGAGATGAGAGTGCTATGAAAATTGTTATAATTTCTTAGCTTATATATATTAGTGTGTGATGTTGTATATGAGAGAATAATAATTGTAAATATAGTTCTATTTAAATAATAACAGTATAATTAAACTTTGAAACTAATTATGCACTACCGTGAAATACATGAATTTTAGTCGGTGAGAGATCGCCACGTTGTATCCTCGTATCACATTTGTTTGTTTTAATTTTTTTTTTATAATTTTGAGTATGATTTTGTCTATTTAATTTTTTTGGTGGATTTTGTAAATACCTTGTCCACATTATGTACATTTGTAGGTCTGCACTGCTCCTGGGTTCGACCTTTGGGGTAAATATTATTTTGACTCATTAATTTATTTGGTTTATACATATACGCCATTCATCTTGTATACATTTAGAAAATTAGCATTTAATAATTTTATTCAGGTTTACAATTCAATTTAAACTATATCATTATCTTTATACTATGTACGTTAAATAAAAATTCGTTAATTTATCGACTTACTCTTACTTAATAAATTACTATTTAAAATTTAAGGGTATTTTTACCTACAAAAAGATTTTTTTAAACTCGTACTTTTAAATAAAGTATGATATGACATGATTTAGGGGGTGTTTGTTTCACCAAAATTTTTGGTATTTGGTACGGATTACAAATTTTGGGATTAAAAAGTGAGTTTTTTTTTGTATTTTGGGATTCCATATATGATGTTTGTTTTAAGATTTTTTTTAGAATATTGAATCACAAAAGTACAAAAAATATCAAATTTTTAGAATTTGCCAAATTCTCTCAATTGGAGAGGGTTTTGATAAATCGCATAAATGGGTGTGCTTACCTCTCAATTAGAAAAGATTTGGTAAATCCCAATTTTATCTTTTTGTGGGAGGTAACCTCACCAAGATAGCATATTCATCATATTATAAAATTTTAGCATTTGGTAATATTACAATTTGTGTTTAAAACAAACAAAATATTACAAATAGTAGAATTTCAAATCCTAAAATATTAATAAAACAAACAACATTTTAAAAATCCTAACTCATAACAAAGCACCTATGGATTTCAAATCTCATTCTGAAATCCATATACTAAAATTATAGGATTTGAGACAAACACCCGCTTAATGTACGGGATCTTCCTTCTACACACCTAGCTACAAGTGTCTTAACTTTAGTACCATAGCGTGTGTATATAAAAAATATTTCTCACACCTTTATCTCGCTTTATATCTCTAGCATGCTGTAACGTTAGATTTTTGAGGCTCCCAAGCATCAACCATCTTGCTCTGACAAAGCATTAAAGTGAGGATGAGGGGGGAGAGAGAACGAACCACATGACATCAAACAGGGAAGAGTCCCTAAAAATTAGCTGCAAAGATATGTTAACCGGTTATTGATAGGAGAGAGAAAGGCGATGAGAGAGAAAGAGGAGTCAGCAAAGCACATGCCCCCCTTATTTTAAGCCCCTTGAATTAGTCCTTGTCCACAACTAGAAAAAAGAATAGGAAGAAAGAAAAACGAGTGGATGGCCGAGAGGGAGAGAGAGAGAGAGAGAGAGAGAGAGGAGAGGAGAGAGAGAATATTGGTAATTTGTCAGTTTTTTTTCTTTTCCACCTAAATAAGTGACAGCTGGGTACAGCCTTCATGGGACCCACTTGCTATATGAAGGTGTTTGCGTAGTCTCGGTGAAGATACGACTTTAAGACGTTTTTCAATATTGCCCTTTGAAAACCTACCCTTTTGGGTTAATGAATTTTGAGGAAAAAATAAAATTAAGATTGTTCGGAAATGTCCTTTCTATTTTGCATTGAGAAAGAAAACATGTGGATAGATACTTGACATAAAAGATACATTTGTTCTACAGAGAAAAAAAAATACTTTGTAAATTATAGAATTAAGTTGGCTAATCCAAAATACTGACTTTAATCATAAGAAATTATTTACAATAAACTAGATAAGAGAATACAATAAGCTCGACCCTGGAACTATTATGTTAAACTAAACCTACCACATAGCTCTAATAAAATCAATTGATATATGTTTATAACAAGAAAAGGGGATGTCATGTGATGGAGTGGCCCTGATATACTAAGATCATAGATAGATGATGAGGATGATGACTAGCGTGTTATAAGGATTGTTAAGGTGTTGGCGGAGATCTCGATTGAGAAATTAGCTTGACTATTTCTCGGATCTTTTCACCTCGTTGGTAAAACTATGTGCACAATCAAAACATCAACGAGTCGAGCAGTGGCGGAGCTAGCTACATAGTGTTTAGCGGTTTCACATGACACCACTCGAGTTAGATTTTATTTATATTTACTACTTATGACACCACTGAGAATAGGATAAAACACCATTAGGAAAGTTAATTTGTAAATTATCAATATAGATTGCAAGTATAACTATGATAAACTATATGGACACCACTAGGATAAAATTTTGACTCTGCCACTAGACTTAAGCTAGGTCCCGGTTAAAGTCCCTCCAACGACCAAGTGAGAGACCTATATTTAAAAGAGTAAATTAAATATAACGGTTAAAAACTTTAGAACGTAAAAGACACCTGCCTAGAGAGTCTAAGTTTCGTCTAGCTTATATGGACAAAGAGTTCTCTCCCTCAACCTCGACGTCCCCCTAGGTCCTTTCTCTCTAGTGGGCAAAGATGTGTCTTAGATTATGAAGGAAATGATTTACTCGATGATTCGTGGTGTAATACAACCAATCAAGAAGTGATAGGGCTACCGCTAACAAGCTCTTCCTGAGCAACCTACCACCGATAAAAATGATGGTGAAGCAATGATCTCCATTTACAAGTTACCATACACATGCCTTGTCAAATGTGCCTTTGGCGAGCTGAGCATGGTGGTTTTGACACGTGGTTGAGAGCCATCTGAACCTAAAACAAATTTTATGATTGGTGATTTTTTTTGAAACAAAGATCTAATTTTTAAAAAATATTACTTAAAAAAATTTTAGATAGCTATTTTGCCTATAAAAACTTACAAGTATAAGAGTTTTTAAGGACACTAGCAATATATGACTCCAATTAGCAATAATAAACATTCTTCAGGATCTTTATTCTCAAGTAATAGATACGAAGGTACATGCTATTTATTTAATGACTTTAAATAGAAGGCATGTTTTGATTTCTATTTAATCAATTAGAATCCAAGGAGATGTACATATTCAAAGGTTGCTTGCATTACCAAGTAACAAACGTAAAATGAGAGGGTTCATTTGCAAAATGTGCGAAGTGATATTTTCCAAATTAGAAAGTAAATATACAAAAAAAATAAAATAATTTAAAAATTAGCCGGTATTCTGTTTCTCATCACCCCGTAGCCATACGGTCCTTGATTTCTTTCATCACCGCCATTATCTTATCTTTTTGCCCATCCTTTCTCTATATAAATCCCCTCTCCTCCCCCCGTCACCTCCTCTCCTTCTCCTCTCAATTCTCTCTCACGCTCTCTATCTCGCTGAGGAGGCTGTAGCTGAGGTATACTCCCTTTTTTGTTTTTTATGATATGATTAACTCTTATGAACCCTGATCTGTTTAATTTCCTGTTCTTCCTCAAAAATCATTCGTATTCTTCAATAACTCTTAAAAATCTGATTTTGTTGAGGACCCATATGGCAGTTTTTTTGGATCTGATCTAATAGAAAAATTTCTCTGTCCAGGCTTTTGATCAGTAGATCTCAAAACGAGGAACAGGTTAAGGATGAAGAGTTTCGCGATGAAGCAGAACGCTTTTGCTGCGTGCGAGGAGATGAGAGGCTCTTCTATCCCTGTTTTCTGTCCTAAGCCTCGTCGGGTCGGGCAGCTCGCTGTACCCGACCCGTTAAGACCCATGCGATGGCAAGCCAGGTAGTTATTTGCCTTTTTCTTCGCTTTATATTCAGAAAACCCCCTCAAAGCTGGGACCTTTGTCTTATCGTTTGTTTTTTTTTGGCTAATTTCTTACAGTCCTCAGTCTGATCTTTGTGACAAAGCTGGCGCTGAGCTTCTTGATATTTTTCTAACAAAGGTGGGGTTTTAATTTTCCAACGAGGCCCTTTAATTCATGTGCAAAAACAAATTTCGAAGAGGGTTTTAATGTAAAGTTTCCTTGTTGCAGGGAGGAGAAGTAGCGATGTCGCCCCCATTTTTTGCGGGGTCGCCTCCGACCCGATCCGCTAACCCAGTAGTGAACGACGCCCGTTTTGCTGAAGAGAAGACCGAGCC